GGACCTCTACCTCACTAGCAGTGAAGCCCAAAGCACTAGCTCCAGAGGAATCAGCAACCTGCCCCATAGGAGAAGAAGACATTGTTGGTATATTCTGTGAGTTGTCACCATTGTTGCTGGTGACAAGATTCCCACTTGCCGCATGACCCTTCTGTTGCTTCTTGTCCTTTCTCAATGCAGCTGGCTTCAGGTGAGGATACAGGACCCAACACTTTTCTTTTACATATCTCTCACCACCACAATGAGTGCACTTAAGGTGCTTCTTGTCTGGATGTCTGTTTCCCTTAGTAGAGACTAGGGCTGAATGTTCTCCAAATTGTTTAGTTGGTTGAGATGGCGTCGGCTGTAACCAGGAAGGTGCTTAATGCTCTGATACCATGAAAGCTGAAATGCTGTAGCCAAAGCAGTAGAAGAGAGGAGAAGACCAAGAGATGCTGAGAATGTTGAACTGAATGACCCAGTCGACAGTACTATTATTTATATTAGAGTACAGTACAATGTTACAGGAAATGACTGGAATGCCCCTGATTARTGATGGGACACCCAGGCAACTTAAAACACTAAACAAACTTAGGCCCATTAACACAGGCCCAGTACATAACAACTTAAACTCAAATACAGGCTAATAAGAACTCTTATCAGCCGAACCATCAATACATGAAAACCTTCAACGTAACAATACTGACTGTACCCTTAATGTGCATATAGGAGCCAAGTCCTCAATAACCAATGAGTTCTACCTAGGATTCCCACTACAAGAGTTAAATTAATTGGAAGGTCGTTCTATCTAAACACTTGTATGGAGGCCTGGCAAAAGGTTTGGCCTATGGTGTGGTAGAGGAAACTATAAGTTCAAGCATCAGGTGGTTATGCTTGTCCAACTGTTCACTGATTTATGACCTAAAAGATCTTCTACATGATACACCATCCCACTGTCCTCACTGTGTGAAAAATATATAGCTAATCTTTTTAGAAATTATACTTTACAACCTGTTGTGCTCATAGTATAGATATGGGGTTATATCATAGATTAAGATCTTGTTACTATGATACACAGGCAGGGAAGGATGTGGCAAGGACAGGGTGCTGGACTCAGCTAAAAAAGAGAAGTCTCCAACACGGATTTATGTAGTATGGGCTTGTATATGCCTCTACCTTTTCAGTTGCTAAGATCTGTGGTTTAACAAAGTTATGGACCCTGAGTTAATACCTAACTGCACTGCGTTTATCCATATAAGTGCTTTGAGTATTATCAATTGGACATTGGCTTCCAATACTGAAAAAAAGTTTTATATGATGGAAACTCAAAAATTCCATAATAATCTGGAATATATTACATTATCTTTTAGCATAAACCAAATTAAGACTCTAGTGCTTTTTGAATGATTACATATCTCTTAATCACATGATTGTTTTCTTATAGTGTAAATAATTGTGAGATTTTCAGAGGTTTTAGTACCTGTAAAATATGAATATTTTTTTAAAACTTATCATTTTTTTAAACTTCTCAAGTTTGGATATTGGTCATTACTAAATATTTTGGATGCAGGCTGATGTTGACAATAGTGGTACCATTGACTACGGAGAGTTTGTAGCTGCAACCTTGAATCTAAACAAGATTGAGAGAGATGATCATCTATTTGCAGCTTTCTCCTACTTTGACAAAGATGGCAGTGGTTATATCACTCAAGATGAGCTTCAACAAGCATGTGAGGAGTTTGGCATAGAGGATGTCCGCCTTGAAGAGATGATCCAAGAAGTGGATCAAGATAATGTTAGTCATTTCCTCGTTATTTTACCATGTTAATGCCAATTTAAGTTGGGGTAGATGGAGAGAGGGAAGAAGCAATCCTTCTTACCTTAGTATCAGAGATCCAGACACACTATGACCAATTTTTTGAATCCCAACCTTTGTGCCACATCCATAGAGATCTCTTAGGCCAAAATTGATTTGATCAATCTAGTTGATCCATTGAGTTGTTGTGATCATCTGATCAGGTTGGTTTTTCTAAATGTCTTTGGTTGGCCAAATCTACTTCTGAAGTGAGAGTTTGTTTATTTCCTCTTCACCTTGGCTGTTCTTCTGTTTTGAGCTTAGTCTTCCTAATAAAGAAAATGCTGCTTTAATATTCATATATCCTACTAATTTATCTTTAATTCTTCCAGGATGGGCGCATAGACTACAATGAGTTTGTGGCGATGATGCAAAAGGGAAATCCGGCCTTAGCTAAGAAGGGTCTGCAAAACAGTTTTAGCATTGGATTTAGGGAGGTACTCAAGATTGGCTGAAATGGATGGTGAGAAGTGCTTCTTATCCTTTTCTCAATGTTTTCTCATTGTTGTATAGAGTCGAGCTTAATACAAATTGTAAAGATGAGGTGCCAGTTGAAATAGGGAAGCCTGGATAATTTTAGAATTTAGATCTCGGACATTTAATGAATCCCACAGCAATGGATTTTACATCTGAAAAGGATTAGACAACTGGATTTGTTTTATTGTATAACATGTGGAGAGTAAATTTGTTGGTTACATTTTTCACTCCCTTCAATAACTTCTGAAACTTCAGAAATGCCTCCAATAGAATCTTGGTCCTTAAACTGCTACTGGAGTGCAACTTTATTGGATTACATCCCGTTGACAGGAAACAATTGCAAGCTAAGCTGTCCTCATTTCTCACTTGGAGGCCATGTTTTCAAATTGTGGTTGAATTGCCTGGTTGACTCCATCGGCCCATCGCCCAGCCATGTCTCTGGGTCCTTTTCACCTGAATCACTAATTTGCACAAATAATTTGACATGGTCTATTACGCAGTGGCGTGGTTGGTTGAACTGTTGAATTTAAGTTGGGGCTGCTTAGTTTCATTGCCATTTATTAAATAAATGCTTTGTACAAAATCTTTTTTGAAAAGTGAGAAAAGTGGTTGAAAAACGTTTTTTTAGCATTATTTAACAGCTAGTGCCATATAAGCTGAATAGTGAAAAAATGCCTAGTATTAGAAGAAACATCAAAAAGATGTTTTCCCCCATTAGATATCTTTAACACAACATGAGAAAAACATTTATTTGATAAACATTTCAAACTCCATTGGGGGAAACACTTATGAAGTGTTGAGCTGGCTTTGTTTATTAGATAAACGACAATGGAACCAAACACTATCTAAATTGTCCATCTGAGATTTTATGAGCTAACAACAATAAATATCAAAATGATGAAAACCATTCGAAAGCACAAATTGTTCTAAAGCCATTAATGAACTGGTCATTCCCAACTCTGCTGAACTTTGTTAAGAAAGTTGAGAGTTAAGATTTAATATAAATTAAGTTTTTTTTTTTTCTTTTTGTTTTCTCCATCATGGGGCTATGTTAGGACATCAGCTACAATACAAGTTCACCAATAAGGGGTCTTGGTCCCAATCATGGAGGAGGCTGCCATTGTGAAACCCAGGACCCAAACCTGTGTGGTCTGAAAGGTGTATTTTAGGAAGAAGCCACATCAGCACAACTAATTAATCGTAACATGCACCGAGTCTTTAAATTAGTTACACTGCTTTGGCACTATATAAGGGACCTAGACTTAAAGAGTAATAAAGGCCAAAAGAGAATTACCCATTTCTTCTTTCCCTTTTATCTTCTTCTCTACTAAGGATGTTATGCTTCCTTAGTAGTGATTCAATATCTAGTGTCAGAGCCCATGTCGAATGCTAGATTGGCATTAATAGAAGTCTGAGTTGATTGTTTGGAGGTGGGTCTTCACAAGTTCAAAGGAGACTTGAAGGAGATGATGTTGTAGTGTGAAAAGATGACGCCCAGTGGAGTTCAGGAAGATGAATAGGAGGGCTTAAGCAACAACAGTGCTAAACAAAGTGGTGGATCTTCCTTTTGGTTTAGGGCTTAAGCAACAAAAATGCTAAACAAAGTGGTGGATCTTCCTTTTGGTTCGCTGAGATGGACTTCTCATCATGGTCAGGTGAAGACCCATTGTCTTGGATTATTCAAGGATGAACAATAGAAACTCCTAGTTATCAGAGAATGGCATTTGCCTCCATATACCTGGAAAGGGAGACATCTCCAATGGTACTAAACCTCCCATCCTTAGTTTACATAGCTTGGCTTCACAAAGGCTTTGTGTGCTCAATTTGGGCCTACCGCTTGGGGTATTCATGGTTTGGTTAACCAAACTATGGGTTATTTTTTGAAACCAAAATGATACTAACGTTTTTGAAAATCCCTGAATCAAAACCTAATCGACCCAACTGGTTAACTGGTTTATCAGTTTATTTTGTTATTGGTTTGGTTCTTCGATTTTTTAATTATTTATATTTATATAAATAAATACATATTTATATATATACTAGTCATTTGTTTTTTTTTTCAAAAATACCAAATTGATTGGTTTGGTTAATTAGATTTTTTGGTTTGGTTTAGTTTTTCGGTTTTTCATGAGCAGCCCTACCTATTGCTTATGAAGATTTTGATGAAACCCTGTCCAAATTGCAACAAATTGATTCTATGCATGAGTACCTGGTAGAATTTGAAAACATTGCCACTAGGGTGACAAGATGGTTTGAGAAAGCCCTAGTTGGGAGTTCTATTGGAGGTTTGAAGGAAGAAATAAGGCTTGAGGTGAAAGCTTGGAGGCTGACCTTTTGTTACTATGGTGGCAGGCCTTGCAAGGCTCTAAGAAAAAAAATTAAGCTAACTCAACTGGCCGAGCGGTCTACCCCCTAAACCAACTGGACTCCGTGTCGAGAACTACAGTCCAACTTACCCAAAGTCATAGGCCCAAACCATTGTCCCCTTTAAACGCCTTACTTGGTCTAAAATGCAGGTCCCAAAAGAAAAGGACCTATGTTATAACTGTGATGACAATTGACAAGTTCGGGCCCAAGCATAAATGTAAGGCCCAACAGGTCTTCCTACTTTAAAACAAGGATTCGGATGTTGAACTGGACCCTCCTATGATTGAAAACCCCCTAGAGATGGATGACCTGGTAGACTTAATGCATTTTGGGGTCTTTGAGATCTCACTCTAAGTTCTTATGGGTCAGACTTCACCCTGAACCATGTGTGTATAAGACATACTCATGGGCTTGCTAGTATCTATTTTAGTTGACAGTGACAACACCCTTAACTTTGTAACTCTGGTCCTAGGTCATCAGCTTGGGTTAGTAATTCACTGCACTCCACCCTTCAAAATCCATGTGGTTGATGGTAACAAGATACTTTGTGGTGGGCTATACAAGGATGTGGGCCTCAAGATGCAGGGGTATTCATTCTTGATTAATCTCTACTTGTTGAACTTTAGTGGGGTGGATGTAGTTTTAGCCCTTAGGGGTTCAATGGCTAAGCCAATTGGGTCCAATTTTGTGCGATTGGGAAAAGGTGACCTTGGACTTCTTTGTAGAAGAGGGTTCTCCACCATATCTGTGACATGAATCCTTCCACACCTTAAGCAAAGCATTTGAACACCCTTATTAAGGAGAGCCAAACATCTCAGTGGCCCCTGTTTATGGGCTTGACCCTAAAACAATAGGCCCAACTCTTAATTTTGGGCCAAGACCTAATGAAACACAATACTTCTCAAACTTCCAAGAACTACTAGTAGCCTATGAAGATGTGTTCAAAAAACTTTTGGCCTTCCTCCATCTTGACCTTAGGACCACCGTATTCCCATAACCCTGGGGGCCCTGCCATGTGGCCCTACCATGTAGGTCTAGTTCTACTGGTGCCCCTAATTCCAAAAGATGATATTGAGAAGATCATGGCTGAATTCGTTAAAGCTGTTCTTGGTTTGAAGGAAAAAATAGGGAAAGGAAGGGAAAGTTAAGGAAACCTTTACAAACCTTGTATAGGTTTCCCTACCTTTTCCTTTGAAACAATCATAGCCTAAAAGAAATTAATTCATCTGAGCATTAACCCATTTTCCTCTCTAATACTACTAGTTAAGAAGAGGATGGGTCGTGGCAGTTTTCTCATTCATATTTATTGATGAATTGTTAGATGAACTAAGAGTGGTTGTGGTTTTCCCATTTCCCCAAGTGGATTTCCATACTCACGAGGGCCATTACAAATTCCTAATCATGCCCTTTGGCTTGACTAACACCCCATCCACATTTTAGGTGCTGATGAATGGCATCTTTTGGCCTTATCTTAGGTGGTTTATTTTGATGTTCTTCAATGACATCTTAGTCTATAGCCCTGATTAGCCCTCTCACTTAGGTTATGTTTGGTTTGAAGGAAAAGGTAGGGAAAGGTAGAGAAACCTTTACAAAGCTTGTTTAGGTTTCCTTACGTTTTCCTTTCTTTCCCTACTTTTTCCTTCAAACCAAACATAGCCTTAAATCATTTAACCATCATTTTGGGTCTCTTACGCCAATACCAACTTTTAGCCAAAATCAGGTTTATTACTTAGGCCACATTGTTTTAGCTAAGAGGGTCATGGTAAACGCTGATAAGATTGAATGCATGATGAATTGGTCCACTCCCAAATCTATTAAAGTCTTAAGAGGCTTCCTCTGTCAGGGTTTAGGCTTATTGTCACCCCTCACCCGATTATTATACTAAGATTCCTTCACTTGGATTGATAAGGCCTAATAGGCCTTTGAGGCCCTCAAATTAGTAGTCTCATCTTCACCAACATTAGAGGTGGTAATTTCTGTTGTTTGTGTTGTGTCGAGGCAAGGGTACTCAGATACATGGGTCAATAGAAATAGAACACGATTAATTAATCATGTCAAATTTTCAAATACACGATTAATTAATCATGTCGAATTAACACGACTACTCTATTTAAATTATAAAATAAACATTCAGTCATTCATTACTTAAACAAATTAATAAAAATATTCATTGTCATCCTTACTCCAAATATACATATATATGAACTAATACTTAAACTTCAGGTAAGTAAGGATCCAATATGGACAATTGCTAGCTGATGAAGGGTGATTTGGCCCGACTTCGTAGCCCGGGGACACGTGTGTATGACCTGGCCCAGTGTACAGCTCAGCTTGACAATACGACCGCAACTCGACGGGAGAGACACATCGAGTCCCACGCTGGCCACTCGGCGAGTTAAGCAACTCACTGGGGACTGACGCCTGGCCAATTGTGACTTCCACCAAGTGTGGAAGGTCCCGAGCTCCCCCTAAGGGGCCCAGAGCTCTCCCTTCCGAAAAAGGGAGCACCTTGGCTCGTGGTTAAGTGTCTCGAGCACCTCGGGACAACATCGTCCTCCCTCCCCCCAGTGCAGGCACCTCGGCACCTCGGTACAGAGACAAACTTGCCCCAGACAGTCCGATGCGCGGTAGCTCGATAGGCTATAGGGAGCCCTGTTTGACATCCGTACCCACCGAACCCAGTGGCAGGGCTCTGATCCCTTGCCAGGCAGCGCTCTGTTTGCCTCCTCTGGAATGCATGACACGTCTGTCAAGCCCGTACCTGGCAATGGTAGTTTGTGGCGGCAACCTACGCCTGCCACACCTGCCCTGGCAGTAACGGCAAGGGCGATGGCGGTTATGCCAGGTGTGACCAGACTCCAATATAAAAGAACCCGAACCCACACAGAGAAAATGTATTGAAGCTTAAGCACTTTGAGCACTCTTACTCTCTACTATATTTGAAATTTACTCCAGTTCTAACTTAGCCATCGGAGTGTTCCCACCGGGATAACTCCCTGGGAACCCTTCACTTTTTCCCCCCTCTCAGGTGCCGTTTGTTCCAGTCAGAAGCCAGGCCATAGCCAGTTAGGAATGCCCAAATCGTGCAGCATCACTAGCCTATTTCATCAAGGCCATCTTGGCCTAGGCCCAGGCAAAGTTTGTCTACGAATGAGAACCAATGGCCACAGTGTTGGCTATCGTGAAATGGAGAGCCCATCTCCTAGGCTACCAATGTATTCTATGAATAGATCAATAGAGCTTGAAATAACTTATTGAACAGTGAATTCACACAACAGAGTAGCAAAGGTGGCTCTCCAAACTCTTGGGCTTTGACTACGTAATTGAATATAAACATGAGCCATCCAATAAGGTTGTAAACGCCTTGTCCAAGATGACTAAACTAGCTCAGATGGTGGTGTCTCGGTCCAACTATTCGTTACTCGGGAATAGTTAAACAAGGACTCTACAGCTATACATGGATATATAGTTGTTGAAGTAGTACTATACTACAAACATCTTTTCCATGTATACTCTACAGCTATATATGGACACATAGGAGACCTATGTGTCTCCTACAACATCTTTTCACATTCTAAAGCTCCTAAACCTATTTCATGATAGCCCCTTGGGTGGGCATTTTGGTATTCTATGGACTTATCACCTCCTAGCTTCTCATTTTCATTGGCAAGGTATGAAGAAGGCCATACAAGAGTAATTAGCTACCTACCTAGTGTCCCCAAGGTTCTAAATATTGATGCGCTTTTTACACCGGTAGGGGTGTATTGGACGATATCGACAGTGTTTTTTTTTTTTTTTTTCAAAACCGGTTCAGGGGGGCAGTTTAAGGCTCCTCCACCCCCTGAACCGGTTAGAACCCTGATACATTCTTTGTAGGAGCGTATCGGGGAGCTCCTGAAATAATACGTATTGGCCGTCGGACCGATATGTGTCGATACTTTAAACCTTGAGTGTCCCAACTATAGAAATATGAGACCCAACAATCAGTTGAATTACTTCAACTTCTACCAATCCCTCAGCATGTCTAGGATGAGGTGTTGATGGACTTCATATCTGGCCTTCCCCCTTCCACTAGTAAGTCAATAATCATGGTTGTTGTTGATCAATTGACAAAGTATGGCCATTTCATTGTTCTTCACCATCCTTACAATGCAACCTAGGTAGCTAAAGCCTATGTTTGGGATATAGCTAAACTTCATGGAACACCAATAGCCATTGTTTTCGACCAAGACCCGCCATTCTTCAGTCAGTTTTGGATTGAATATTTCAAACTCCAAGGAATCCACTTATGGCATTCTACCAGCTACCATTCTTCAGTCAGACCAAAGTCTTGAGATTTAAATAGTGGGCATATTGGGAACGGGATGTGCTCCTCACACTTGGGCGCTTTACATGTACATCTACTGTGCATTGGGACCATCTCTATGAAAAATAATTTACAAGTACAGAAGATGTTCTCGATACATGATAGGACGTACGTGTGAAACGCCCTATGTGAGGAGCAGATCCGGTCTCGGCATATTGGATGTCATGCAGGAGGGCCCACCATTTCAGATGACGGAATAAATGAACCATCAATGAACATTTTGTATGTTACAGAGGATAATATATGCGCATATGCGCATGCATCGACACTGGGTGTGATCTCTGTATTTCCGGCCTTGGTGGAAGATAGCTCAGCATCAACTCCAGGAGTTTTGTTGGATGCATGATGTTTCAAACAAACGGTTGCAAACTTAAACGGGTACATGTTTTGCACCAGTCAAGATTTGCATTGCAACCAAATGCTTTAAAGGAAAAAATTGTGAAAACAAAAGCTTTCATGCCTAAAAAAGTGGTGGAAGAAGACAAGAAAATCACAAAAGCTGCTGATAAAATCTGAGATGAAGATCTCTGTCCTTGAGAATACTTTCTCAAACAAGTTGCCGGAAAGAAGAAATTTCTCTTTTCAGTGATGTTCTAGATCTTTAAATAGGGTAGTTCATGAAGCGGATAGATGTGATTTATCTTGTGATTTTGTTTGTGCTGTTCCATTAGTTCTGTCCGAGCTTTTGCTGCTGGATTTTTCCGGACTTTGTTAGTTTCTCGTTTGTTTGTTCATTGTTTCTTTCTTGAATAAATCAATTTTCTACCAAAAAAAACCAGTCCCACTGCCATATTTCATCAGTTGCGACTTAATTACACGAGTTAGTTTAAGCATCTTCTCTGTATCAATGACAAGTGCTCACTCTACCGTTTGATGAAGTTGGTTAGACATGAAAACTATTGATTAATTTTCTATACTGAGATGTGTCTAGTCTTGGAGCTATTTACTAAGGTTGCATTTGGAGACTGTGCAAATAAGTGTGAATGTAAATATGTAAAGTGTAAAATGGTCGATATAAATTACAAAGTTGGGTTAGTTTTGCATTGACAAATTTATCTTCTTACCAAACAGATTTTTAGCTATAATGGATGCAAACATGAATTACAATAAAGCATATTTATCAAAAGCCCACTTGAATGCAAATTTACTTCTTTTTTATTGATGTACTTTTACATCTTATTATCAATGTAAATAAGCATTGATCTTTCATTTGTCAATGCAAAAATGTAATGCTTCCAAATACAGGCAAAAGTGAATCAAAATGCAAATTTACCCTGAACTGGGATTTACACTCTATTTGCATCGTTTCCAAACGCAACCTAATTGACTTGTACATTATAAACAAAATGATAATGATAATGCTGCTATATATATTTTTTTCAACTTAATTTAATTTAATTCTTTTTTTAATTACTCGGTGACCTAGGTAATTAATCCGTTAACCTGGTAGGTGTTTGGCATCGGTGCTGGGAACATCACACCTTTTTCTAAGAAAAAGGGTATTGGGCATGTGGGGTTGTAATATTTTTTGTTTGGAATTGGTGCTGCCACATAGGTGTTTTTTGAGAAAACATCATTGGCTTTGTTTGGTATCAATGCTGACAACAACATTTTCAACATTGATCTTATTATCCAACGTCCAAGATGATGCCACATTGATGCTACGTCATTGCATTGTTGGCAGCAATGCACCGTTTTCCCAAAAAACATCAAATTTGGCATTGCTCCAGACCACACTTTCCTAATTTCCAAGGTATGGTCTGGAGCAATATTTTTTTTTAAGAAAACAGTACCAAACAAGAGGACATTGCTTCCAGCACCGTTTCCTCAGAAAACGGCACCAATGCCAAACACCGCCCTATTTGACCCAAACAATGATTTTTGGGCCAATTTATTTATTTTAATTTTTAAAGTGTAGGCTGATCCATTCAGATTAGAAGGTTCACGGTTGAACCACTCATAAGAAATCGGCCAAAGCAGTTCCAGTTCCGGTCCGGTTTTTAAAACATTAGATAAAACCTTATAAGCTCAACAAGTCAACATTCATTCAATTGGAACTAGACCCGGATCTATCATCTAACTGGTCCATCCAGACTCGATCTCTTTCTAGCCATCACAAGGATTAGCTAAAAAATTCAAGGGCAATTTAGTCATTCAAAAATATTTTAACTCGACAAAGGTGAAAAGCGAGAAGCAGAGAAAAGGGAGACAAACAGACCGCAACTGTATTTGGCGCGCGGTAACTCTCAGTGCTGACTCTTATCTCATCCCCACATACTCCAAAATCCCACCGAAACATTCCAAGAATCCAATGCGGAGAAAGATCGAGACATCTAATATAAACACGAGATATTAAAAGCAGGTGGGTCCCGCTTTCCACGTGGGTCTAGTTCTATCCACATGATGTGGACCCATCTCTTCTCCCTAGGGTTTCTCCACATTATATATACTGTTCGCACCTCACGGTTGTTCACGTATCTGCACCGTTGGATCCCCCACTACAGATGATCCCAATCATTGGACGTGTGGTGGCTCAACTCGCACAAGTGCGTATTCTAGCGTCTATCATTGTCAAGCAATGCAATGCAGCCACGACGACTTGGGCGCCAGCCTTGGATGCAACGTGCCACCCGCTAAAGCTGTAAACGCCAGATTCTCTTTCATTTGCGAAACCAACGGCCGGGATTCGGCTTCAGAGTTGGATCCAACCGTACGATTCCTCCCTTGCAACCCAATTATCGCTAGCACGTTCTGACAGCTCATCGCTCCAGCCTACACGTCACGGTTGCCGATCAGCCAACCAATCAAGAAGCTAGATCGTGCCACGTCAGCGAGAAGGACGGAACACCATCGGCCCCCTCACGTTCTCCAAACAGAGCCCCCTGTTTCTTTTCTTCGGTTAAAACCCAAGAAGGACCAACTTGTGTGACAAATTTACCCTTGTCATATTCCAAAATGACTTCAACTCTCAAGGGTACTTAAAGGTTGGGATGAATTTGTCAATTTCTGAAAAGAAAGGGTAGGATTGGGATGTAGGGTAAGTTTAGAGCAATTTCGTAATTTGGGTGTTTTTATGATTTTATCTACTATGTTTGAACTTTGAAAGGCTCGCCCTTCTACTTCTGTTACCTTTGTCTGAACAACGGACTCTGCTCTGTCGTGCTTCACGAACCAGGTGCTGACCTGAATTGAAGCTTCAGGTAGTTCAGAATCAGAGCTAGGGTTTCTTCTAACTGAAAATCTCTGTTGTAGTAGGGTTTCGGTCTTGATAACGAAACAGTTATTTAGAGCTTTCTGAAAATTCGAATTTTGGCGGCTCTTATTTAGTTCTGAAATCCATGGGAATCGGAGCATTTCTCAATCCTTTCGGAAGCCACTTGAAGCATTCCGTTCTCCAAGCATAACCCTAATCTTCGGTTTTGGGAGGTCAGTTTGATATGTAATTCTCGTGCTCGATCTGTGTAAAATTGCTTTTGTTGGATGCTTGATAGTTTGGATATTGGAATTATAAGGTTGTGTTCACGTACTTTTAGTTTTTTTTTTCTTTTTTTGTGTTTTTTTCTTTTTTTTGTGTTTTTTTTTTTGTGTCTAAATTGGTCTCTACAAAGCAAAATCGAGTTAGATCTCTGATATTTTGATCTGTTAGTCTTTTCTTTTCTACTTGAATTTCTTTACTGTTTAATTTGATAAAGATTATACAGACGTGGTTTTGGTTACTCTTATTTTTAGATTGCCTGCCTGTTGGTTGTGTAGGGATATCTTTTATCTCACTTCCGTAGTGAAGGAAATGGAAAATGTTGCACATGTTGCAGAGGGGATATGGGGGTTTAGGTTCTGAGAATTATCTCTGGTTGCACTCTAACTTTTAGTATCTTAAATTTTATACCTTATTCAAGGTTGGCATTTTTAAGACTGCTAAAATATGTTCTTTAAACTACAACCTTGCAGACCTGTCTCTTCGAGCTTGGAAGGTTTAGTTACCAAATGGACTCTGAGAGCGGGGCTGTTTTGGAAAATGGGAATGGTATTGTTGAGGAAAGTTCTCCCATGGACAATGGTGTTGTTGAGGAAACTTCTCCCATGGAAAATGTAGTTCTGAATATAAACAAGGAAAACGAGAACGCTGACAATGATGTAGATATGTCGCAAGTAAATGGAGTTTCTGAAGATGCATCCCAAATTGAAGGAATTAACTCTTCTGGAGAGGAGGTCGAAAGCTCTAAGACTGTTTCAATAACAAAAGGGTCGAATACTTTAAAGGTAAGGTCTAACATGCCTTAATTCCTTCGAATTGTTTTTGTTGGATGAATGATTGGGTGTGGAGACATGGATACGATGATATTCTTCTGTATTTAGAAACCTGGATCTGGTCGTGACAATGGCTTGAAGAACACTAAAACACCTAAGGATCAAGCTAATGGGAAAGTTCCAATTTCATTTTCTCGAACTCAGAGGCCAAGCATGTCTCAAAGTCTTTCCTTCCCTTCAAGGGGGATGCTTACCATTGGTTTGAAGAAGAGCTTTGATGTCAAGTCGGTGAAATTGGATTCTAAACACACCCGAGCAAATGACACAGAAAGTGAGGCCTCAGTTTCGAATGGACATGCCACTTCATCAACTTCTCGTGTAAATAATCTCAACAGGAAAGCCTCCAACGGGGTGAGTTCTGTGGATGCTAAATCAAATGGTGGTGGGTTTTCTGCCCGACGGACCACTTTAACATCTGCTTCTAGCATCCGACGTTCTGTGGTAGGGGTGTTTTTCCTTCTTCCCAGTATCTCTTAGTGTTTTTCCTTTGTCCGCACTACCTTATTTTGTGTTTACTTAAAATCAGGTTAGCAAATCTGTTTCCTTAGATGCAACTGGCAGTCGACCACAACCCAAAGAACACCCGTAAGTTATTGTTCTTACAACCTACAGAGTTATGCTTCTGTAGTCTCATTTACTTCTATGAGCTGTAGATTAGTTCTACATTTCTACTTGTTTTATTTTGACATAAAGTGATACCCATTTAACAGACAATAACCTAAGACAGTCTGGAGAGAACTTTCTGTTATTTAGCCTATAATTTTCAAATATAATGTAAGTTTATATTGTCAGAAATTGTTAAAATGATATTCATTTACTATATTTCAGTAAATGACAATATGTTAAAGAGTGTCATGTTTGATTTAGCTTATAATTCTCATATGTATAAATAGGTTTGCCTACCAATAGGCAATCCAGGAAAAATAAGGAGAAAACTTGTCAATTTGCAACTTCTATTCATAGTATTCTGTATATTGGTGAATGTATCCTTAGTTTCATTTATTAGTTACTTTTTTATGCATATAATACAATGCAATTATATAATTATGTCTGCATTCCTTCATTGCTTGACAACTAACCATGATTTCACATGATATAATGTGTATAATATCTACTGAATCTGTTATTTTTTTTATATAACTGCAGATCAAATGGTCAAGATCTAAAGCTAATGAAACAAGCATTGCCTGTTAAACATGATGAGGATGCACAATCTACCACCTCGTATTTACTCTTTCTTGGACTTCAATCTTATTCAACTGCATCTTTACTTTCCTGGTTCTCTTCCATGCATAGATTTATAACATTCCGTCAATCATTTTCATTATGACTGTAACCAGAAGCACTACCCCTCGTGGGATACGGAAAAGCACAGGGTCTGGATTTGCCTTCAGACTGGACGAGCGAGCAGAAAAACGAAAAGAGGTGAGGTCACTTTAATTTGTTTAGCACCCACGAGCTGTTTTCATCTCTTTGTTGTTTTCTCTGCAATCTCCCACCCACTTTAATTTTTTTTCCTGATTAGTCTCACACCCTTTAACTTGCATACTATATTTTACAAAAGGAAAATGATCAAATTAGTTGGTGCTTGCATTAACCCAAAATCTCTATTATTTTGATAATAATAATCTGCATAATAGTCCTTCATAGTTCAGTAGCATCACATTTACATGAATGATTAACTACTTGGATTGATCTGGATGCAAGAAGTAAATTGATTCTGGTTCCACTCCTCAGTTCTTTTCAAAACTAGAAGAGAAGATTCATGCAAAGGAATTGGAGAAAAACAACTTGCAGGAAAAAACAAAGGTACTGGAAAGTATCTTCCTTTGAAATCAAACAGATATTTTTCATCTCTTTTTTCTTATTCCTTTTTCCTTTTCTTCCCCTTCTTTATGGATTGGCTTGTTTCCAGTGCTATATATTTACAACTCACTCCATTCTCCATTTTTGCTTGTAGGAGAGTCAGGAGGCAGAGATCAAACAACTAAGAAAGAGTTTGACATTTAAAGCTACACCAATGCCATGTTTCTATAAAGAACCTCCTCCAAAGGTTGAGCTAAAGAAGGTAACCATTCCATCAGTCTCTGAAAAACAAACCAATGACAAGATACTTCACACACTCTAAAGTGTACCCCTAAGATGCCCAGATCGGGATATAGGAAGTTGGGAACTACTGATAAGAGGCTTTGTTGTTCAAAATCCAAGATACTGATATTGATATCTTATCCAATATGCTGATACCTGATACTATATTTTTAAGGTTTTTTTTTTTTTCAGGCTTAGTTACTTTCAGTGTTTACACCATACTAAATTTACCAACACTTGCATACTTGTCATATCTTTTTTTTTTTTCTACCAAAAAAAAATAACAATATGATAATGTTTATACCCTCCATAATTTTTTTTGTTAATAAACCAAATAATGAAACGTTGGGAGAATAGATGATAGCTAAATAGGAATGGTCAAACCATGGTTTTAAAACACTTTGAGGCGAGGCCAAGCCAAAATGCCTAGCCTCAAACACTTTATTGATGGATTGAGGCAATTGCCTTGGGTTTGATGAGGTTCATGCCTCAAATACACAGCATTAAATTAGAAAAAAAAAATGAAAACTTCAAATATATATTATTTAAAATACTCCCCAAAGTTCAAGAAAACTTGATTATTTGGTTGGCTATTCATAAAATAAAACAATTTAAACTCAAAAGAAACTCGTAATATCTTTCTTAATCAAAATGTACATGTCTCCACTATTATTTCTCAATGTACCACCACATGTGAGAATGGCATTTCCATTCACATGTTCGCCCATGACACACACGGCAAACAGATTACTTATTTAGGTAAAGAAGGTTAAACTAAAAAATATAATATATAGCACACACATACAGTCCATCCTTAAATGCATAGAAATTACAAATGAATTTAGTATGTACATATCATCATCATCATCATCATCATCCATGCCTTCTCCCAACTAGATGGGGTCAGCTACATGAATCTTGTTTCTCCAATTCATTCTATTTAAAGCCATTTCCACAAATTTAGTATGTATGCTTATTTAGTTTAGACAGGAAAGGTCGTAAACATAAAACAAGATACAAAATAAAAATTCAAAAAGATGAGATTCATATTAAAAAGAGCATATATGTAATAGAAAGAAAATATCTAAATTAGTTATAAAAAGAAATAAATTGTAGTAACATACATAGAAAATATAATAAATATATAAAGAAAATCTCTCTAAAAATTGACCATGCTTCTTTTCTTGACATTAACTTAATACCCCTGCATATATTGGACTCTTCCCCTCGTAATGATAGCTGTTAGGATTTCAAATTCTGAACAAAAGATGCCCAGCAGATACTGAGTCTGTCACATGGCAAGGGATATTGGGCTGAAACCAGAAACCAAATGAGAGAATTGCATTTCAAACGTGCAGATCTCTTGCTGCTACTTGGGCTCCTATACTGTTTTGTTAAGTACAAGTTATTTGGATAACACTAAACAACGCAGGAATCTTCTACATGGAAATATAGGTGTGGCCTAACATGTCCTTATGTCTTATTCATGACAGAAATTTCAGCTTGAAAGCCCTGCCCATGTTTCCAAAATAATCCTGCTTTTTCCCCTTTTTGACATCTTAGATGCGTAGTTATTAGATGGAAAAGTGTCGGTAGAAAGTGGGATATGGTGTTCCATGAACTGGGGAATTGTACACATGGTCATTCCAGAAGGTTTTCAGCTTGAAAGGACAGTTTGTTTAATATGTCCCTTCACATTCCAGAAGGTTCCTAGTAGAAAATGGGTTACGTATGTGAGATGCTTAAGAGTCGGTTCAAAACATGTGAAAATTTGAAAAAGGTATTACACTGGATTTGGTATTCACTAATATGCATCCTTGGTAGGAATGGCAACCGGGCACGGTGAGGCCAGGTTTTGCATACTTTGTCCCCGACCCCAAACTCAAATACCCCACCCTGTCCCCGCCCTCTACCCCAACAGAGCTAAAAATCCAAATCCCATCCCCATCCCCATGGGGAATGGGAATCCCCAAATTTGCCCCTCCCTGAGTCATTCCTACTTGCAAACTTATTTTTTATATTTTTTTGAAACCTACCTAGAAGTACATAATATGATAATATATATTAAAATTATATATATATATATAGTACACACACGCACACACTTTTAATCTGGATGGGTTTGGGGCCAGGATCGGGGCCAGGGTGGACAAACATCCACCCCTTCCCCGTCTCCGGTTGCAAAGTTTCAGATTTCCCCAAAACCAGCCCTGACCCCAATCAGCAATAAAAAAAAACCCACCCCAACTGGGGCGGGGCAGGTTGGAGCCCCAACATGGGCAGGTCAAATTGCCATATCTCTATCATTAGAAAGATGGAATTTTCTTCAATGTATTGGAATTTTACTCAAAGTTCTGCAACCTTACCTCCAGTAAAGATCAAAGTGTCAACAGAATGGGACCAATGGGTAACAGGAGTACAATGCAAAGCTTGTTTGGTTGTGCAGGACCAAACAAGTTTCTTTGCTTCTCTCCATACTTGTCCTAAACACAAAATCCTTAAACCAAGTCACCAGTTTCAAGCTTTCTTGAATTTTTTTTTTTCCTATCAAAAGTCATTACTGAATGTTGGTTCTGGTTAACTGGGGTATTAGAGGCATGGTCTGGAAGCTAGTATGGACCTAACCTTTGACGTTGTGTTTTTTTGTGGGTCACAAAGTGGTTGTTCTTAGACTACAACTCATATTCTCGCACTTGTCAATCCGAAGTTTTGCCATTTCAGAAAGAAACAATCCTAATTTTCTTTTCCTGTCACATACGTCAAATTCAGCCGGAAAATGTAATTTCCCTCCCCACTGCTGCTTACATGGATTGCTTTCTGTGTATATGGATGCATGAACATGATGCCTTTCGTTCTAATGTTATCCTGTTGTTAATCGTTATAGATACCAACCACACGTGCTGTATCACCAAAGCTTGGAAGGCACAAAAGCTCTGCGGACAACCATTCAGAAGGGTCTTGTCAAAGCCCACGTCCGGACCTGGAAGCCAAGAAGTCAGCCAGAGGAGCAACAAACACTACTGGAGATTCCACTGGTTTGAAGAAGCCCGTTAGAAAGTCAATCTCCAAGCTTTCATCTTTGAAGTCCGCTGATACAAAGACTGAAGTGAAGCCTCTCAAGTCAAAACCAAAGACCATAGAGGCAGAACATGACAGCCAGGAAGCTTGCATAGGAGAAACTGAAGAAGATCAAAACAAACCCATTGATTCTTCCCTCAGAATTGAAGCTACAGCTGGGAAGGGGTCTATTGAGAATTCCGCAGAGAATGATGTGTCAATGCTTTTACCTGATTCTGGGATTACTTCTGATGAAGTTGTTAAAGGTTAAATATATCATTCTTCATACTCTTGCTTCTTCATTGTGCAGATTGGAAGTTGAAGCTGTTGTGAATAGATAGGGTGAGTGAGTTTTTATGCAGTTACTGCTTCCTGACAGATTAAGGTAAATGTAATTGTGCTTGTATTTTACTCTTTTCAGCAAGCAATTAGCTGATTTTAACGATTGTTCACGATTTTATAGGCTTTCTGATGAAATTAACAATCTTTTTCTCATTATTTGATTGTAAATAAAAGGGAAAAAACTCGGGTGCTTCTCTAAGAGTAAAAAACAAAAAACGCAATTCGCAAAGATAAGATATATTATTTTGGAATAATAGAACGTCACCGATTTATTCCAATTTTGCTCCCCATTGTCCCAAATTTTCCCAATTTTTCGTAAAGACAAGATACATTATTTTGGAACGTGTAATATGTGCACCCTATTCTCCCAATTTTTCTGTTCCGTTTTGCTATAGGATTTGTTCCACTTCCAACAACGAGTTGGGATCTCCTTCCAACAACTACATCTACATGGGTTGAAGTGGCAAGAAATGAGTTAAGTTGGGACAAAGGTTAGATGATGATGATGATGATTTTGGATGATTAATAAGGAATTCTACACGGGTACCATGTATTCATCCAAATTACGAGTACCATTTATTCTATTTTGAATGATTAATAAGGATTTCTAGTTCTACATCCTTACCATGTATTATTCATTCAAATTATAATTAATATCATGTTTCAATCTGTTTTTGGACCAGTTAGGCGGTGTTTGGAATGGCTGAGTTGTGTCTTCATTATATTTGGAAAGGCTGTTTGGTTAGGCAAAACAGTTCAGGGTATTATTCAGGAGTTTTTCCCCTTTTTTTATCTTATAGGGGATGGAACTGTAGCTGCTTTTTAAAAAAACGGTGTTACATCGGATCCACATAGGCATTTCAACAAACACCTATATATTTTATTGTTTGGTTCATGTGTTTATTGAAAAATCAGGTATGTCTCGTAAACGGGACCTCACCGATGCATGAAACGTCAAATTTGGCCTTTGATGCATCGGTGAACTGTTTTCCTCAATGGTTAACTGATTGGCGATTACATGTATCCTATGTGGTGCTTACCTGTCAGCACATACATGAAAAACAGTGGTGAAAATTATCTTACTAAACAACATAGTGTTGCTCACTGCCTATGTGGCAGAAATACACTCAAATAAAATTAAAGCATTTTTTTTTGTAAAAACAGGTCTTGAAAGCATGAACATTTTTTCTTAAAAATCGATCATAGTAAATGCCCACACTTCTAAACATCATCATAATAGTCCCAAAAGAACGAAATTTGAAAACCAGAAAGAAAATATAAAAGAAACCAAGGAGTACAAGACCTGTAGCGGTGTCGTTACCTGTAAGCTCATTGAGCTACTGATTACTCATTACTACAAAAGACATTCTTGAAACCAGAGAGAAGAAAAGATAAGTTCTCTTGGGTTTCAACAACTTAACCTAATTCCCACTTCAGAGTTTGGATCAAACTGATCAAGCATTAATTAGGCTCAGTTGAGAATTAGACAAGCATGCACCTGTTTGTTTTAGTTGGTAAACGCTTGGTTTCATGCATGGCTCGTCCTATATGTGAATTTTATTTTTTATAAGCAATTTTCTGCCTTTTTCTTTTTTTACTTCAAAATTTTGTTTAAAGCTTGACAAGTTGTGAATGGAGGGCCCTTTTTTTTGTCAGATTTGAATTTTAATGCTTATTTTTTTAATGAAAGAGGTGGAGATGCAACGCAACCATGTTAGAAACTTGAAGCGAATTGACTATGATTAGCAAAATGTAGGAAAGGTTTCAGCAATTGTCAGAAACTGGTTTCAACAATTTACCCTTGATTTAATTCTTTTAGAAAATACTAATAATTGATGCATATTATCTTATCCGTATATATTTATCTCGCGTGGTTGATTGGAATATTGTGATGAATTAGAGTAATTAGGGTTGTTCATGGGTCGGGTTGGGTCGGTTTACTAGTGTTTTTTCAATCGACTCGACTTGGTTGGATTACCTATAGATCAAATCAAAATCGACCCTCTATTAAATAAAACCGACTTGGTCGGTTTGAGTCGGTTTGGGTCAGTTTGGGTTTCAACCAACTCCAAGTTTGCACAATGCATATGAAGTCAAAGTGTTAATATTATATATAATATTTAAAAATATATTTTCTGGAAATATATATCTGATATATTTCAGAATATATTTTTTTAGATATATATTTATTATTTAAAACTAAAATATCTATATTTAACAGATATTTTTTCAGAATATATATTTTTTCACATAACCCGGTTCGGTTCGGTTTCGGTTTTCACATATGAAAATCAAAACTGAACCGAATTATCGGTTTGTTCATCTTTGCAACCCGAAACCAATCGGTAGTGAAGAAAAACCGGCTAACTCGAGATGGGTTGGGCCAAAAGGTGACTGACATGTGGGCTCATGTATTCCTTACACATTGACTTATAGTTCCCCTTCTTTTTATTTTTGAATTATTCAAAGAAGAAACAGAATACTAGTGGATAATAGGGTTGGGCAATTTCTATCCTACCTAGTGAGTACCCACCTCAATGGGATGGGTTCTTTTGCTTGAAAAAAAAAAGATTTTGGGGCGGATATAGGTTTTGGGATTTTACAGCATATGGATAGGATATGTTATCAAGCTAAATCTGGTCCTCCCCAACTCACATATTGTTGGAAGGCATGCCAATCTATGTACTAAGTGTTGAATTTAATAATATTTTAAATTTTATGTGAAGAATAATTGATAGTTTGTAATTTTTACATATTTTTATCAAATAGTTAGAAATTTTAATGCTTGTTTGTTGATTTTAAGTATAATAGGAAATAATAGAAAATTAGATGTTGATTCTAGACCTATCCTGCCACCCCACCATCATCAAATGCAGGGAGGGTAGGGTTGGGGAGGGTTATGCATTTTTACATGCAAGGAGGGTTTAGATTTTGAAAATCCAAACTGCTATGGGTTTTGAGGAGGGTATGAGTTGGGATGTCTAGGGAGGCAGGTAAGGTCTAGAATTTATAAAACTCTCCCCAATCCCATCTATTTGCCATCCCTAATGGATATTAGGGGTGATCTTTAATTGCCTAGTCCAACCTGCAAATCTTCAGGTCAGACTTGAGCCCAATACTAAATAACCCTGTATATTTTGATGAATACCATCTATTGGTTATCACTTTTTATTTTTATTTGTTGCTGCTGAATTGGTTATAATTTTTATGACCAGATGATCAAGTTTTTCTGATATGATAGTGGAAGAAGGTCGAATCAAGTAATAAAATTAGCTAAATTAACAAAATCAGTCATATTAAAAAAAAAAAACTAAGCCTATAAATAGGAAGAAAACTGCTCTTTTTTAACAAGACTGCCCCTTCTTTACACCTAGGGATGGCAATGGGTGGGTTTGGGGAGGATTTTGCAAATTTTAGACCCTACCCGCCTCCCTAAACCTCCCAACCTATACCCATTCCAAAACTCATAATGGATTAGATTTTGAGAATCCAAACCCTCCCCACACATAAAAATGCAAAACCCTCATCGACCCTACACTTCCCACATTCAAGGGTAGGGGCAAGTTAACCTGCACCTAATTTCCCATTATTTCATATTATATAATGCATAAATAAGTAAAATAACATAAATAAACAACAAATTTTCCAATTATTTGATTAAGACATGTAAAAAATACATAAACTATAAATTATCATTCACATAAAACTCAAAATATTATTAAATTCAACACTTAATACATAAAGTTTATATGCTTTTTAACAATATACAGGTTAGGGAGGATCGGGTTTAGCATAAAACCATACCCTACCCATACTTGCACGGGTTATAGAATCCCAAAACCTGTCCCTGCCCCAAAATCCTCCCCATCAGAGTGGGTAGGGGCAAGTATCCACCAGTGTAGGGTAGAAATTGCAATCCCTATTTCTACCGATTGTTTAGGCTTTCTACTACATAATAAAAAAATGTGAAGGCTTCGTTTGGATAATTTTTTCATTTTGAGCTTTAGGGCATGAGAAACACAAATGAGCCAAAAAAGGGTTTTGAACATTTGATAGGAATAGGTTTTAGAAGCAAAATAATCTAAAGCCACAACACTTTTAAGCCCGAACCCACAAGGTCTAAATTTATTTTATGCTTTTAGGCTTTAAATGTTCAAATCCTGAAACGGTACTTATTCCAACAAAAAGAAATCAGTTTCTCTTTCTTCAAAATGAAATAAAAACTGACCATATGCCCAGTAAGCCTGCTTTCTGCAATTACCACATCAAGAACCAAAGGAAATGACTGAAACATTTTTGGTTGAAAAACTGAAGAGAAACTATATATTAAGTGATCTGTATAAGATGTGGTGTATTAGAATCTTTTAGGCCCTATTAACCACATTCCATAAGTGTTTTGCACTGTGGTATGAATGTACTGATAACAAAATTTTAGATCATATATTTCAATAATTTCTTACATTACATATATAGTAATTGGAAAAATCTATAATATTGGAATACAAGAACTTTGACAAATCAAAACCCCTGTGAATTTTGATAAATATCACTTGATTGGTTATTATTTTAATACCAGTTAATTGGTCATAGACTCTTTTGTATCATACTTGAACCCATATTATCCAATTTACCATGGTATGGATTCATCCATAAGATTTTTGTGTGGAAGTGAAATTGTGATATTTTGTGTTTCAAAACATCCATAGAAGGTTTCAAAACACACCACAACCCTAAAATAACGCCTAATGAGTGTGGCAAGTTTTGGACCCAAGCAATTCACATAATATCCACGGTATAGAAAGGAGGGGAGAGAGAGAGAGAGAGAGGATAATTATGGCTGATTTATGATGAAAACAAAATTACTAAATTATTCATTCAAGATTTTATTAATTAAATATTCATTCTAAAGCACAAATCACCCTTAAAGTATTGATGAACTGATAATGCTAAAAGAAAATTGAAAGAAACATTAAGATTTCAAAAAAACTTAAGTCAAAAGGGTAAAGTTGTCTCTAGAATAACTAAGAAGTTTTATAAGTTTAATAGAATATTCTATGAAATTAACTAATAGAATGCTAAGGGCCAGGCGAAAGTGTTGGAATTCGAGGGCCGGGATGATCAAATAAAAAATTCCAGTTAATCGAACTAACCGA